GGATGTGGTGTAGAGCGGCTCCATCCTCTGCGATGAATGAGTTGGGGATCAGTTCAAGGTCTTGTGGCGTGACCTGGAGCTCTGGTTGAGCTGGGCGTGTCTTGGGCTTATTGGTGCGTCTCTGGATGGCTCCAAAGTGGTGAGCCGCTTTTTCACGAATTCTTTCCTGTAGTTCGTCGCTCTGAACGAACAAGAAATGGATGTCAGGTCGTGAAGCAATTGCTTTTAGCTTCTGCCAAGGTGCCTGGCTGGCCAATGCTTGCGAAACTTCATGGTGCGGAAGTTTTTTCAGGGCTTGTTGCGCCCGTTCGAGTGTGCGCTCCGGAGGGACTCCTTTGGTGGCCAGGAGTTCACTGAGCTTGGCAGCGAGTTGTTGTGCGTCGGTCCAGTGCCGAAGATCCCATCCGTATGTGGGTGCTGTTGTCTGATGTGGTGGTGCCAGTGTTGAATGCTGCTTGGTGTGGCAAAACCCATGCTAAACACAAGATGTGCTAAGGCACAGGTTCCGCAGGTGTGTGGATCTGGTTGCTGGTAGTGCGTGCGAGAGACGAGATGTAGCCGGTCGTGCTCTTCTGCTGTGGCTAGCTGGTGAATCAGTGCTGCAAAAGGTGCTGGGATGCTGGTGTCTGGTGTGGTAGTAGTGTGCAAGCTGTTCCAGTGTGTGAAAGCTTGCTGGGAGCCCCGGCCCCTCGTGAGGAGGGTCCAGTGTTGGTTGTGTAGACAAATCGCAAAGAAAGCGATTGGCAGTGTGGAGGTTGGGTGTTTCGGGATGTGGCCGCCGATGCAAGCATCGATCCCGGGGGTGTGGTGGGGTAGGTCGTCATTGGGAAGCTTCAGGGTGGCCAGCACGTCTTTGATGTGTCTGTCGCTGAGTCCTGCCTGGTGTTCCTGGGTTGGTTCCCTGCGGAGTTCGTAGGGCCCAGGAACCCAATGTCTTGCAAGACGGCGTGCTTGGGCAGTTGATGCGGCCCATCCCAAAGGCTGGGTGTGGTGGTGTGGTCGAGTTGCTGTTCTGCACGGAGAAGATGATCGACTTCTAGGAAGCCGTCCCGAATGACTGGCAGCCATCCATGTCCGTCGTGAATGAGGAGATGCTGTGTGGCATGTGATTGATCTGTCTGCCAGTGGTGGTGTCGTTGGAAGAGTAGCTGCTGCTTGTGTGCCTCCAGAAGCTGTAGCGGTTCGGCAAGCGGCGTTCGGCTGAAAAATTTCTGAACAGCCCGAAGAAGATGGCTGGTGATCCAAAGCGCCTGCAAAGGGGCCGCAATCTGTCCCAGCAGACACAATCCATCCCTGGCTGCTCCCACAAAGTAGTACCCAGCTGGTACCGTGTGCAGGAGGCAAAGCTCCTGAACGTGCAGAAACCTCGGCTTGTTGGTAACTTGGGAGATGATGTAGAAGCCCCTGAGACCGCCTGTGATGAGTCGGTTGGAGCTGAGTGCCTGCTTGCGGCAGCCGCATGGACAAGCCGTCAGTGCGGATCCATAGCTGTGAAGGACGGTGGGGCAAATGCTGGTGAGTTCTGTGTGCCGTGTGCTGGGTTGCTGTAAGCATCCATCTCATCATCATCAAGACCAAGGGCGAGTTCTTCGTTACGGGACCACAAGGGCCATGCCGGAATGATGTGCCCCACAGTGGGCCTGCGCATGTCCATTGGCCATGGATTTAGCTCAGAGGCATCCATGGCAGCTGGGATCAAAAGCGCCCACCATCTGTTCCGGCGAACTGGCCATTGGTGCTGCAGCTCAAGGAGGACAAACTTGGCCTGAAATCCCATGTGCCCGGCGAAAAGCTGCAAGCTTTCCTGTACAAAGGGGAAGTTCTGGACATTGGCCACGCATTCTAACAGAACTGCCGACGCTTGGTGTAGCCATGCTGTACGAAGAGTGCCCCAAAACGCGGAAGCTCTGGAGTCCTGAGATCCTCGGCCATCTCCTTGCCGGCTAAAAGGCTGACAAGGAAAGCCTGCTCCCAGGATTGTAGGCTCTGCCGTGTTGGCAAGGTGCAACTTCAGGATGTCTGTGTCGCTGCAAACGCTGCCCTGAATCACATTCAAGGCCTGGTTGGCTCTAAGCGTGCTGCATGCCAAGGGGTTTGTGTCCATGTGGGCCACTGTTCTGACCCCAGCGCTTGCCGCTCCGAGAGCGATGCCGCCCATGCCAGCACACACTTCCTTCATGGTCTTGTAGGCAAGCAGCCCGCGTGGTTGGTGTGGGATCACGGTGGAGATGTTGCTCGGGAAGAGCAGCCATTGTCCGTTGTCTTGGTGCACCTCAAAGTTGTAAACCGTGACCAGCGGGGCCTCGAGAAAAACCTCAACAGGCACCAGCGCAAGGAGGTCGGTCCCCTTCAAAGAGGAGACCGCAAGCGTGAGGTCCGGCAGGTCGCAGTGGTCGGCCAAGACGAGCACCCCGGTGAATGGTTGCCCCAGCTGCGGTGGTTGTATCCATTTCATGGGTCGATCGAGCGTTCGGCTGACACCAGTCCACCACTGGTAGGCACTCGAGCCAGACTTAGGCGAATATAACACCTCTCGGCATTCGATCGCCCTCAAGCCAGAATACGTTTCCGGCCACATGATTTCTGGCCCCATAAGTCCGCGTTGACATTGCATCCGCATGATGCACCCTGGCGCCCAGAGCACAGGAACGCCTCGCAACCACACTGAAGAGGGGGCGAGTAGAAGAACGGCTGGGCACGCATTGTCAGTCCCCCTGCATCTCTGGGCCTGCACCTCTGAGCAACTCCACGGAAAAGCGGTGGGTTCGCCTTGACGGTTTACCTTGCTTTTTCCTTGGCTGGTCCCCCTGTTATTGGCTTGAAGCAGTGAACAGGATTCTAACGCTTGGGGTTTTCTTTTCCCCGTTGTTTTAATCCTGGTTGAATCTTCGGCCGCGTTGCCATTTCTGCTTCAAGCCTTTGGGGGACCTTCTAAGGGTTTGAACCCTTTTTTAGAAGCCCACCCACCCACCCTGTCCATTCTGAGGTGTACCTCGGGTGACAGCACCTCAGCATGCGTGTGCATACCGCATGGTCGTGTCTTGCCGTACGCACTACTTTGCCTCAACCATCAGGTTGCACGCATTGCTTCCTGATCACATGGTGCACGCTTTGCACCATGCCTCACAGGTGTTCCTTGGGTGACAGCACCTCAGCATGCATGTGCATGCAGCATGATCGTGTCTCGCCTCGACACGAAAATTGAGGTTGGCATAGTACGCACTACTTTGCCTCAACCTTCAGGATGCACGCATTGCATCCTAAACACATGGCGCACGCTTTGCACCATGTCAGTCATACTTTCCCCCGGTCCGTTTCACGCCCCAGAGGTAAAACACCTAGCGTGCAGGTCAAACACGCGTTGTTGACCTGGGGGTTAGATATCAGGCCCCGCATTAGATGCAGGAAAAGGGGCTGGGCACGCATTGTCAGTCCCCCTGCATCTCTGGGCCTGCACCTCTGAGCAACTCCACGGAAAAAGAAGCGGTGGGTTCGCCTTGACGGTTTACCTTGCTTTTTCCTTGGCTGGTCCCCCTGTTTTGGCTTGAAGCAGTGAACAGGATTCTAACGCTTGGGGTTTTCTTTTCCCCGTTGTTTTAATCCTGGTTGAATCTTCGGCCGCGTTGCCATTTCTGCTTCAAGCCTTTGGGGGACCTTCTTCTATGGGTTTGAACCCGTTTTTAGAAGCCCACCCACCCACCCTGTCCATTCTGAGGTGTACCTCGGGTGACAGCACCTCAGCATGCATGTGCATGCAGCATGATCGTGTCTCGCCTCGACACGAAAATTGAGGTTGGCATAGTACGCACTACTTTGCCTCAACCTTCAGGATGCACGCATTGCATCCTAAACACATGGTGCACGCTTTGCACCATGTCAGAGGTCAAACACGCGTTGTTGACCTGGGGGTTAGATATTAGGCCCCGCATTAGATGCAGGAAAAGGGGCTGGGCACGCATTGTCAGTCCCCCTGCATCTCTGGGCCTGCACCTCTGAGCAACTCCACGGAAAAAGAAGCGGTGGGTTCGCCTTGACGGTTTACCTTGCTTTTTCCTTGGCTGGTCCCCCTGTTATTGGCTTGAAGCAGTGAACAGGATTCTAACTGGCGATCTCGAAGGCCCTGAGGAAGGACCAGGCCTGATTGTTCGGACAAAACCCACTGCAAAGCAAAGCAAACGATCTGTCAGAGGCAAGTGGCAACCTTAGCCGTCCTGGAGACACAAATCGGTCATCCAGGGATCTCCCTGCTAAGGAGTGACACACTTACACCCCAACGGGCAAGGTTCTAACATTTGCTAAACATGGCGCCAGCTAAGAATGCTCCATGTAGGGAAAGAAGTCGATGCGCAACCGGTGGCCAACCTTTGCAACTTGCAATTCAATAAGCAACACAAGGAACAACATCACAACCCGACCTGACTGGAGAAGCAACAGCCTGTCCTCCCAGGGCAGGTGCGCGGATTGGTGTCCCAATCCGCATCACGGGCACTGCATGAGAGTCTTTGTTGGCTCTCGTTTCATGCAGGCCCCGAGAGACCCCTGCAAGTCAATCTTGAGAACCTACGCAACGCAATCCAGTTTAAAATAACTCCGTATTATGGCCCCCGAGATGATTCAGCAACGGCAATGATATTGGGGATGCCTTTGAGCAGGCCGCCCTGGTACCCTGTGGCAAAGCGCGAATCAAAAGCCAAATTCGCGAATGCCGTTTCTACTTGAGTCCATATTCCAGCGTCCCAGAGCCCGAAATGCCTCGAAGTGCGTCAAAACAAGAAAACGCCAAAATCGTGGAACACAAGCTGAATCAGCAACAAATTGACAAATTGAGCGAAACAGGCCGCAGCAAACCTGACCCGATGCCGGGAATGTCGAAGCTGCTTGGTCCCAAGACAATCATTGCCATCTAGACGCTCGACTGCCTCCGGCGCTTGTTCTGGAGTGATCAAGGCTTGGTGTTGGAGGGGCCACAGAATTTACCGTGGCTTTTGGCCCAAATTTGATCTAGGGTAGTTAGGAAGCCTCTTTGTGTGATTGGCGTGGCTGTGCGACCGTTGCTTGTCGTCAACTGACTTGCCACTGTGTCAAACACTGGAAATAATTTGGGTTGTAGGGGGTGGTCATCAACTTCAAAACAGATTCCCCCTGCGGAAAACCGTTTTGACCTATAGTGCACGCGGTCTCCACAAATAGGCATGCTTGTTGCAACAACATCACTGTGAATTGCTGCAGACGGCAACTTGAACAGCGACCCTTGCTAGTAAGCACTTTTGTTGCCAGTTTGAATTGTAATGGCAGAAAGTTTGGCAAACACCTGCAGCTATTTCACCAACGTGCCTCGGGTGTCGCCCAGCTCAGGTTCCCAAACCCAGACATGGAGCCGCCTCGCTGCTTCAAGAAGCTGGAACTGGACGAGAAGAAGTGGTTGAAGAACTACACGGAGAAGGTTGTGGCTCACTTCATCAAGGACAAGTTGCCGTTCATGCCCCGGAAGGGCTGGATTGAGCGGAAAGTGTTGACCAAGGAGCTTTGGCCCCCTGAGGCAAAGTTGAAGGACATCGTGGAAATCTTGAATTGGGCTTCCCTTCGTGCTTATGGTCAGAGGCAGCGTGTTTGGTCCGAAAGGAAAGGAAAAGACCACGATGGAGCCGGGATCAAAGAGAAGTTGGAGACGGAGGATCGCGAGGCCCTTCTCACAACACCTTCCAAGTTGCCATTCAAGGAGTTTGAAAGGCATGTGGCGGTGGCCTTTGACCCCAAGAAGGAGCAGTTTCAACTTCGAAAGGGAGCCTGCGACGGAGCTTGGCCGACGCGCCTGTCAGCCAAAGAATTTGCGAGGCTGTGCAATGGCGCCTTTGAGGAATGCGCGTATGGCGCCCGCTTCTCGTCAGCCTTCATTGCTCAGGGTGCGGACATCATCATGTTGGCAGATGAGCTCAAGGAATCCCTGCGGCGCGAGAGTGCGAGCCTGTGTAGCCTGATGAGCGACTTCGACAAGGCAAGCTCGCCCTTGATTTCTTCAGATCCTTCACAGGCCGGGACTAGCACTCGGGCGCGATCCAAGAGTGGGGATCTCCCGGGGCGTGTTCCGTCAGGTTGCTTGCAGCAGGCCAAGTATAGTGCTGGATTTGCCTCGCGCGCAGCCTGTTCGTTGCAACGCACCGCAGAACGCTTCACGCAGCATGTCGTCATTGATAGTCCCAAGCGCCCTGTAAGCCTAGACGATGCGCAAGCGCAATAGTAACGAGCGACGCGATAGTGATGGACAAGCCGCTTTTCCTTCACTAATCCCTAGAGGAACATGATGGGAGGGCCAACGGGATACTATGGAAAGCCAGAGGCAAGCAGACATGGAGTGTGGGGCGACAAGTGCCACAGCATCCAAATTCCAAACAGCGGGCATTGTTGCAAAATATGTTTCAGCCAGTCGAGTGACCGTGCGCGGTAAATGCTACCTTTGGTCAGTCAATGAAGTAAGCGTGTGATGGACATTGCTTGCTCTGCGGCGCCAGGGCAGTCCGACGACCCCAGCACCAGCAGCCACAGCAGCTGCCGCAGCCACGGCTGGCCAGCGGTTGGCAGGCTTTGCGTTGCCTTGCAGCAGCAAGTTTCAGATGTTCCTTCGCCCACGGGGCAGCATTTTGTGATATGTTGTGTAGTGGTGGCTGATGCTGTGACTTCCCCCAGCGGTGGCTGCCATTCATCCCTTGTTTTGGCATGTTGCTTATGCTATGTCATGTTCAGGTTGTGGCGTGTTTCGTGTGGAACAGTGACACTTTATGAAGCTTCGGCTGCGTGCGAAACTCCCATTTCTCTGACTTGTCGCGCTAGGGCCAGTGGCAGGCAAGTCTATGTTGATTTTGGTGGTGCACGCAGACATGAGGCGTGATTATCCGTGATCAGACACATGCGCTGCCTTGCCAAGGTGTGAGACAGCCTCGTTGCCAAGCGATGCTTCATCGAGCCGGCTTGAGCAGTCAGCTGAGCCACGTGCCAAGAGGCCACAGACTCCCCAGCTCAACGGTCAAGCGGCTCGTCAAGAACCCCGAAGTGATGAAGCTGAACAGGAGGCGGTGCCACAGGCTGGAAGTGGAGAAATGGTTTTCAGAAGAAAGACCTTGTTACAAATCAGTGGCGGCGGGCGGACATATCTTCCTTACACTAACTTTGGCGTGCAACAAGCCCGACACAAAGTTCAACAATGAGCGTTGCGAAACATCCGCATAAACCATTTGGGACAACATCAATTATTTGCTAAACGGAACCTTTGCTGAGCGCATCGAAACTTTGCGAAGCAAACAGCCCTTTATTCGTTTGCAACGCAAGCAAGCAGGCAAGCAAGCAGGCAAGCAAGCAGGCAAGCAAGCAAGCAAAGAAACAGTTCGTGCAAAGATGCAGGGTGAACCGTTGTGCACAACATCATTCCCAGAATGATCAGAACTTTGTCCAGTTCATGTTGGGCCTCGGTTCGGTCAAAGGGCCAGCTAGCCTCGGTTCGTACCGGTTCAATTTGATTGTTGCGCATTCTCAGAAGGCAGACGCAAGCAGATCTACCAGTTGTGTCCTGTTTGGAGTATCCACTGTGGCTAATCCTGTGTGGAATATCCTCTGTGATGCGTCCTGTGTGGTGTGTCCTTTGTGGCGTGTTCTGGCGGCACGTCCTCTGTGGTGTGCCCTTTGTGGCGTAAGTCGAGTGTCCTCTGTGGTGTGTCAAGTATCCTGCTTGGTGTGCTGCCCGCTGTGCTGTGTCCGCTGTGTGTTTGATATGTGGTGTGTCCTTTTTGGTGTATGCTGTGGTGTGTTCTTTGTTGTTTTTGGTCTGTCATTTGTTATTTTTGGTGTGTCCTTTGTGGTGTGTGTGCTACGTGGAGCGTCTTCTATGGTGTGTGCTACGTGGAGCGTCTTCTGTGGTGCGTGCTCCGTGGAGATTCCTCTGTGGTGTGTCCTATGTGAAGTGTCCGCTGTGGTGTGTGCTGCGTGGAGAGTCCTGTGTGGCTTGTCTGTGTGGTGTGTCTTCTGCGGTGTGACCTTTTGTGTGTTCTTTGCGGTACCGATGGCCAATTGGCCCAAAAGGCAGCTGGCGACCAAAAACATGTGTGTCCTTTGCGGCAACTTATTATGCGGAGTGTCCGATGTGGAGTGTCTTCTATGGTGTGTCTTTTGCCCGGCGTGTGCTAGTGGTGTGGTCTATGTGGATTGAGTGTCCTTTGTGGTTTGTGCTACGTAGAGTGTCTTTTGTGGCGTGTCTTAAGTTGCGGGGCCTTTGCGGTGTGTCCTCTGTGGAGATACCTTTTGTGGTGCGCCTTCCTTGAAGCATCCGACGTGGAGCTTCCTGGAGTTTCCTGTGCGGTGTGTCCTCCTCGTATGAAGCGGGACGATTGGCATGTGGAGCGCCTGGGCCCTGACAGTTGACAGGGGCACTCTGGAAACGAATCGGCTACGCATTCTTGAAGTAAGAGTGGAGGCCTTCCCCTGAGGGCTTTCTCAGGGAGGTAGGTTGCGAAGAAGATTGCAGTGGTTGGATTGGTTTGGAGTTGAGATTCAGTGTGCTGGGAGTAGGGCACAGCTTTGGCTTTACAAATGACAGTGCCTCAAGTGCAGTTCCAGGGCCGTCCGCAGACAGCCACGCCTGCCGCAGCGGCCACGGAAGGGCAGCGCGTGGAAGAAACTGCTCAGTGTCCAGGCAGCAGTTCAATTTGCAAATCAGGTTTGGCCTCACCATGCCTCACCATAGTGGCCATAGTGGCCATGGTGGCCATAGTGAACTTGTTGGTGCTTAGGCAAGAGACGGCACGCCGGTGGAGGGGGCGGAGCCGCTCTGTGTCCACCACTGAGACCGTCTCTTGGGGGACGCTCTCTGATGGGGATGCCTCTGTGGCTTGGGAGGCCGTGGGAGCGGCAAGGGGGGGCATGGGTTGGCATCGCAGCCGCCTCCGGAACATGGACTTTGGCCCACAGATTTACATGCCATCGAAAGTGGTGCAAAAGTGGCGTGGCCTGGCGCCGGAGGAGAGGAGTTTGACCAACTTCCCGAGGGCCATCAATGAGCCGGAAATCAAGAACTACTTGCTTCACTCGGTTTGGCATCGAGTTGATCGCAACCTCCGGGAGGAAGATGTTGAGGAGGAGACACCGGCGATGTGGTGGTTCGGCATTGACGGACCAAGGCAAGAGGTCTTCCTGCTGATCCTCAACTCGAACATGGTGTCTCGCCACGACTTCACGGCCCGCCTGCTGCTGGTACTGGTGCCCAACAACCGGATGGGAGGCTCACCCTCCAACCCCAACCAGCTGCTGTTTGCACACTTGTTCCCTTCCTCGAACCTTTGCAGTGAGCCCAGGATGTCCTCCATGCTGAGAAATAGCCTGCGCGAGCTGCTCCCAGACTTCGATCTTTGTTGTCGTGATGCCATTTGCCGTCTTGAGGAGTCTGGGGTGCCGCTGGTGCCGGCGGCCTTCGAGACCAGCCGCAGGGAGGATCTGACCTTTGATCCCAGGGCCAGGGTCAATGTCGTGGGCATTGCCCAGCACATTCGGCACGAAGCCCGCTCGCATCGCATCCCAGTGGAGTTCTCCCACCTAAGTGACGCTGACATCAATCAGCGAGTGCAGTGGGCGATCACCCGGCTCAGGAATTCGCCCCATTGCGCCGTCCCCCAGTACTTTACCGCTTCTCAGATCAGTACCTAAGATGTTTTGATAGGTTTTGATTGTCCATTTAATAGCCACAGCCATGGCGGGATTTCAAGGCAAGTTGCCAAACCAAGGACCGAAATTGCGTGCGTGGCGGTTCCATCAACTTCCTAGCGCCCCTCAGCTTGTCGGAGCCCGGATCAGATGATGCCGCCGTGGCTTTGGTCCTGGTGCCGGAGCGCAGCCGAACTGGCGAAAGGTATTACAACGCCATGACGATTCTCTCCCTGATGGAGGCGCACTTGAATGCCCTGGTGGTAAACCCCTTCAGCGGCCACTGGCTTCGCATCCAGTTCTAAGAGCAAAGTGAGCAAGGGCCAAAGCCCTGTTGGATTCGGCTGACCCCTTTCCTCAGAAAGGGGACACAGAGTTTGAGGAGAATTCCCGTGCTCATGGGCCACTGGGCCATTTCGTGAAAAGCAGGCCAACTCGCCAACACAAGCCCGAATCGGCTGCAAGAATCCACCGGGGGTGATGCCTAGTCAAATTCAGTCAAGTCTTACGACTTGAGCCCAGTCTTTCGCCCATCCTGTTGGCGCAAAGCTGAAAGGATGAGGCGATGCAGAGCCATGGATTTGCTGCATGCAACTCAGCAGTGCAGGAGGCGCATGAGAGCTTCCAGGTCTGCGATGAGTCCAGGTTTGCGATGTTGCGTAGGAGTGCGTGTTGTTTGTTGCGTGCGAATGCCGTTGAAAGCTTCCATTGCCTATGTTTTCTGCTTAAGAAACGTTATGACAATTTTACATCAACTTGTGCACCCATCTTGCGGCGCAAGTCTGGACAATTGGACAGGACCGACCCTGGCCGCTCTGGCATGTGGGTTGGCAATACTTTGTTTTGCATGGACTGGAGCGTGATTCTGAATGCCCTGGCTTTCACGGTGCCTTGAAGAAACTTAGCCAGTTGGCAGACCATAGCTCAGAGGGCCGATAGGAAAACACCATACTTTGCTTTGAGGTTTGACCCTTTGGTGCCAGGAGTCATGCGCCCGATCCATGCAGGAAGCGAAGGGGCTGATGAGGTTGAGGAGATTTGGTGAGGTTTTTTCCCTCCATTCTGAGGCACATGCAACAAAGCTTGGAAGGGTTTTTTCTATCCAAATCTCGATGCTGAAGCCAAGAAAGTCGAAGCCAAACATCGCCTGGCGCAGTGCATACTTTGTGTAGCGTAGAGTCGGGAGTCCAGGCCTTTGGACACCCAATTCCCCTAGAGTGATATTTGTGCTGGGAGAGCGGCGTGGAAGAGAGAGGAAGAGTGCCGTGCACCAGGCTCTGCACCAGGCTCTGCAGCAGGGAATAACCCCCCAGGTCAACCGGCCTTGGTCTGATTGCCAGGGAGGAAGTTCAAAACCCTGAAGGAGTAGCCCTCCGATTCCACAATGTAGTGGTTGACTAGGTTCTCATGGAGGGCTCCATGAGCAGCCTGGGATACTGAGATTCGGTGGTCTTCGCTTCCTCAGCGCAGCATGTGATTCAGGGACACGGGCGGAATCAGCAGCCGTGTGCCCAGCCATGCTCCGGGTGGCGAGGCTCGCCTCGCAGTGTTGGACCTTCCGGAAAGTGGGCTTTTGGGGATCGGTTGAAGTGCATGCCAGCTTGTGCCCAGTCGGTTGCGGTGAGGTCGGGTCCTCCATGCGCCGACGCGCTGAGACGATCGAGTCGTGGACTATTGTGGACTCTGGCCTGGCGCTGCCGGCCTGGCCGCAAGAAGACTCGCCCCTGCGTCTACGACTCCGGGATGGTGGAGTCAGCCCTGCAAGTTGACAGGACCTACTTAAGTGGACCCGCCAAGTTATGGCAGATACGGAATTTATAACATACGTTATAAGTAGCATAACATACGTTATAACTGTGGCATCACGCGTTATAAGTCCGACAAGTTCCCATAAGTATTTGTAACTTAGTTACCGCGCGGCTCGGAGTAATAAGTTGTTACAGCATTTAAAGGTATTTTATAAGAAGATATAAGTATATGATAAAAACACGCTTAAGAACTTATAAACACTTATGGTTGGACTTAGCAAAGTTATAAGTTACTTACTACAACTTATAACTACTTATAAATACTTATCACTTACTTATGATAGTTAAGATACTTGTGTTTCTGGCTTGGACTGCTAGACGAAGCTTTGGCCTTGGCCTTTGGCTGCGCAGCTCCAGCAGAAGATGCTCGCTTGCCCATGATGAGGATTCACGCAGTGGCCGGAATTGGCTTGACTCGGCTTGAAGGTGCAAATCTAGCAGCATTCAAACAGATTTAGCAATGTGACCTAAATGTGAAGCACCAGTCTTGCTGGTGACGCTGGACAGATCAAAGACAATGTGTGAACATGCGCGTCTGTCTCCACATGCTGCCCATGTATTTCGAAGCAGCATATAAACCGCTAAGCCGGTGCTGAAGATTAATCCTGAAAGACATGTCAAAAGCGTGCTTCCTTTGATCAAGGCAGCGTGGATGATGGCATGAACTCAATGTGCAAACAGTGCCTACCGCCCATGCGCGCTTTCCCAGGCAGGACTCTACGCAGCTTCGTACAAGTATAGACCCGCAAACAACTTGGTTCAATGTACAACACTGACGTGGGCTAAACATTTGTTGATGTGTTCTATATTGATACAGTCTGATTTGCTTGAAGACATGCGTCGTGTTCCTAAGCAAAACCGATCTAGAAGTTCGAGTTCTGGTATGACAAGTGTGCGCCAAAAGATGTTCTGTTTGATGTTTTCAATTATCAACCAACTATGCTTCCAGAGTTGTCCTGATATCTAACCAACCGTACAAGCGAGCAGATCATTGACAAAACAACCTCTAAATCTTTGATATTCTCTGGGAAAACAGATTATCAAGTTTGATTTGCCTCAAAACTTAAAAATCAACTTTTGAATCATAATCACATACTGAATGCTCAAAGTTCTCTTTCATTTACACATTCGGAAACTCTAAATTCACAATTTCTGAAAATCAGAAATGCTGAGTTCATGTTTTCTAGAAAATTCAGAGTATTCTGAATCTTCATCTTTTCCTTTACTTACAAAAATCAGAAATTATGAATTCTGAATTTTCTGAAAAACAGGAAATTATACATCTGTATTTTTCCTTTTCTTACACACTTCAGAAATTCTGAATTCATGTTGTTTGTTGAAAACGGACAATTCTGAATCTTCATCTTTTCCTCTACTTAAAAAATCAGACATTCTGAATTCTGAATTTCTGAAAAATCAGAAAGTTCTGAACCTTCATCTTTCCTTTACTTACAAAATTCAGAAATGTTGAATTCTGAATTTCAGAAAAATCAGAAAAATCTGAATCTTCATCGTTTTCCGTCACTTACAAAATTCAGAAATTCTGTATTCATAATTTCTGAAAAATCAGAAAATTCAGAATATTAATCTTTTCCTTTTCTTAAAACTCAGAAATTCTGAATTCTGAATTTCTGAAAAATTCAGAACATTATGAATCTTCATCGTTTCCTTTACTTACAAAATTCAGAAATTCTGCATTCTGAAGTTCTGAAGAAACCATAAAACATATGAATCTTCATCTTTTCCTGTACTTATAAGAATCAGAAATTCTAGAAAATTATGCATCTTCATCATTTCCTCTACTTAAACACAAATCAGGAATTCTGAATTTAGACGTGTCTGTAAACAATTTTATTTTTTCCTGTACTTACACAATTCATAAATTCTGAATTCAGAAGTTCTGAGCAATTCAGAAAATTATGAATCTTCATCGTTTCCTTTACTTAAAACAAATCTGAATTCTGAATTTTCCGAAAATATCGGACAATTCTGAATGTTCATCGTTTTCTTTGATTAGAAGATAAGAAATTCTGCACTCAGAATCCTCAGAAAAAACTCAGACAATTCTCAATCATCATCATTTCCTTTACCTAGAAAAATCAGAAATTCTGAATTCATCATTTTCTGAAAAATCAGAAAATTGTGAATGTTCATCGTTTTCTAAGAAAACTCAGACATGCTGAATTCATGTTTTGAAAAAGTCAGAAATTTCAGAACCTTCATTATTTTCCTTTACCTACAAAAAACAGAAATTCTGAAGTAATAATTTTGATATGTTTTTGACAATCCAGTATTTTCTGAACCTCAATCATATCCTTTACTTAAAACAATCAGCATGTCTGAATTCAGATGTTTCTGAAAAATCCTTCGCGATGTTTCTCTTGCTTGTTTGCGCGCTTGCTTTTGCACTTGGTTGCGTCAAAAGTAAAAACATGTAAACACATGTAAAGCTAGTACTTTAGCATGCGCTTGCTTGCGCCAAAATGTTCTGAAGAGTTACACAACTCTTGCGCGTTGTTGCTTGGAACTGCAAAAAAGTGACGAACAGTTATAAACAGTAACAAAAAGTGATACACAGTTATAAGAAGTTATAAAACGTTATAAAATTGTTATAAACAGTTATAACACAGGTATAAAAAGTTATGAAAAGTTACGAACGCTTATGATGACTTAGCAACTTACTTATAAATGACTTACATGACTCTTCGATAAGTACCTTAATAAGTCTCATAACCAAATTATAAGTTGCATAACTCTCCGGGTCCACTTAAGTAGGCCCCTTCAAAGTGGCTGTTCTTGAAGCAATTTTCCTCGACGTTTGGAGCTTAAACGGGCAGAGGCGGCGGCTATGAGCCTGCCCTGCCGCGAGGACTCGCATGCTTCCAAACTGGACCTGTCAAAATGTGTCGAGCCTTTCGCATTCCTGCTTTATGTCGGTCTCCGTGGTGGCTGCGAAAGATGAACCTGTCAGTCAATCCCAGCTCAAAGTGAGGACTACGAGGAACGGCGGAGCGGAACTCCATGGCACTTGAAGCAGCTCGGTGAGTGGCCAGGGTTGGGCCATTTGGGGGTGACCCCGGGTGAGGCTTTCCTTCTTGATGGGGTGCCCATGGAGAGGGGTGTGTGGTCTTCTGCATTCCGTGGCATTCTTTCCCAGAAAGGGAAAGTGAAACTCCCAGATTGCCATTGGCTAGCTGATGCTAGCTGCAACTGCTTTGCCGGATGCTGCAGCATGCAGGGCCACAGCTAGATCACAAAGAGCATCTATTTGTGGCGTGTGTTTCAATCATGCAGAGCGAGCTTGGCACAGCTGTACTTGCCGAAAAGATAGTTCCACCCAGTTGTTGGTGAGACCTGTTGCTCCACAAGGATCCAGATGTCCTTGCTCCAGCTGCCCGAGGCCGATAGAAGTCTTTGCAGGCCTATGGAAGCCTACGGAGGGCCCTGGGTACCCATCAGCCTGGAGGCTTAGCACCACTGATGCCCCATCATGGACTTTGTTCCTTGCGTTTGCTTTTCTGGAGCAGCGCGCTTCGCATCCCTTCGCCAATGTATTTATGGCTTCGAGAGTTCGGCGTATTTTTTCAGAAAGCCTCAACCATTTGACGTCCTATGACGTGAGGATAGGTGGGTGATATTTCGTTGAGAGTCTCCAAACACTGCAGGGGTTGGAAAGGCTTCAAGCGCTGGCATGCTACTGAAACCTTGGGGTCTTTTGATGGTCATGCCCACGGCTGCTTTCCGTGCGCTTGCTTGTTCTAGCTGAGGAGGCAGAAATTCCGTTGAGCTGGCCAACTGGAAGTGCGCAAGCTAATCTTCACACCAGCTGGCATGCATGCCTGGTGACCAGGTGTCCAACATGCTGGGTCAGAGCACTCCCAAGTTTCGAGCTGAAGGACCGCCCAGCAGCATCCGAGGCCGTGGGTTATGACTTAACGCCTCCGGCTCAGGCCGCCGACGTAGAAAGGCAGCTTGATGATGTTGAATCAGAAAGGTCCCTTCAAGGCATCAGTGGGGTCCTTTCGGGCAGCATTGGATTTTGGCATGTGCTGACGAGCCCCGCAAGCTTGAACAGTCCCCACAAAGCATTGGCAGTGGCCATATGTTGTGGGCACTTTCTGGCTGACGTGCAGCCGCAGTAATATCCCAGATTGCTTCGGCTATAGTCTTCTCACTTTAAGTAGAGGGGGGGTGGGCCACAAATACCCGGCAGGGGCTGTTACAGGAGTCTTTTGCAGGGTGCCGTTGCAGGGTGCTTCTGGAGAGTGTGCCGCAGGGCTGGGCTTGGTGCTGTTGCAGGGGCTGTTGCAGGGTGCCTCTGCGGGGTGCCGTTGCAAGATACTGTTGCAGGGTGCTCTTCCAGGGTGTAGAATGCTGCTGGGGAGTGCGATGCGGGGCTAGCAAGAGGGGCGTTGCAGGGCGCTGTTGCAGGGTGCCTTTGCAAGTGCAGCTGCAGTAACTATTTTTGCTTGACCGTGCTGATGATGTTCGCTCAAACTGGAAAGGTCCCTGTAAGGCATTAGCGGGGACCTTTCGCGCGGCATTGGATTCTGGCATGTGTTGATGATTCTCGGCATGTCAGAGAAGCCGGTGATGCTGGTGATTCAAGAAGCGTGCCAATTGAATATTCTGGTGATGTTCAATCAAGCTCGAAAGGTCCCTCAAAGGCATCATTGGATTTCGGCATGCGCTGACGAGCCCCGCAAGCTTGAACAGTCCCCACAAAGCATTGACAATGGCCTGGTGTTGTGGGCAATTTCTGGCGCAAGGAAAGTGCAGCTGCAGTAACTATTTTTGCTTGACCGTGTTGATGATGTTCGCTCAAACTTGAAAGTTCCCTGTAAGGCATCAGCGGGGACCTGTCGCGCGGCATTGGGTTTCGGCGTGTGCTGATGATTCTCAGAAAGCCGGAGAAGCTGGTGATGCTGGCGATTATGGACATGCGCTTGAAAGGTCCCTGAAAGGCATCAGTGGGGACCTGTCGCTCGGCATTGCCCAAAAAAAACACAAAAAACACCTTGACAATGACACTATGTTATGGGCACTTTGTGGCGCAAGGAACGTGCAGCTGCAGTAGTGATTTTTGCTTGACCATGTTGCTGATGTCTGCTCAAACTTGAAAGGTCCCTGTAAAGCACCAGTTGGGACCTTTCGCGCGGCATTGGATTTCTGCATGTGCTGATGATTCTCAGAAAGCCGGAGAAGCTGGTGATGCTGGTGATTCGGGACATGTGCCAGCTGAGTATTCCTGCCGGTGATGTTCAGTCAAGCTTGAAAGGTCCCGGAAAGGCATCAGCGGGGACCTTTCGCTCGGCATTGGAGTCTCCGCCAGCCTGCGCACTGCAGCGGAATATGCTGGTTGCGCTGGCGATGTTGTGTGTGCCTTGAACTGCCTGTGCTGGTGGTGCTAGTGATGCTGTAAATACCATGCGCGGAGCTGGTCAGACCCGGGTGGACAGGGGGGAATTGACCCACCCCCTGCAGGTGAACAGGGGGGGAATCGAGCCCCCCAAGGCCTAAATACAACTAGGTGTGCGGGACCCTCTTTTAGTCTAGATTTGGTCTACGGCAGGGTACCGATGGAAGCCGAGCTGTGCTGCAGTGGTGCTGATTCATACACAATTCATACGTACTACTGTTGCAGCGGAGCGGTGCTGATTCATACACAATCCGGCCAAGCCGTGCAGTTGTCGCCCAGAGGGGCGCATTGCCAAGGCTTTGCCTTCCGGACAGCCCCCGCCCGGGTGCCGCCGACCCCTCCCTAGATGCTGGTGATGCTGGTGATGCTGGGGGACCTTGCCGCCCTTTGTTGCACCATCGGAGCTCCAAACCGGGAACGGCTGCAAACACTGTAAACATGCAGTCAAACGGTTGTTTTTCCCTGCCTCTTTTGGGCCCTTTGTAGCCCCCTCCATCCCCTGCCTGTCCAGCATCATCAGCATTTCTGCCCACCCGGTGCCCGGGACTGATCGGACCGAACGCGCGGCGCGCGCGCGCGCACGCGCGCACGCAAGCACGCACGCACGCGCACGCGCCCCGCCCCGCCCCGCCCCGCCCCGCCCCGCCCCCGCCCGCCCCCGGCCCCGCCCCGGCCCGGCCCCGGGCCCCGGCCCGGCCCGGCCCCGGCCCCCGGCCGCCCCGGACCGGCCCCAGCCCCAGCCCCGGCCCGGCCCCGGCCCCCCGGCCCCGGCCCGGCCCCGGCCCGGCCCCGGCCCCCCCCGGCCCCGGCCCCGGCCCCGGCCGGCCCCCCCGGCCCCCGGCCCCGGCTCCCCGGCCCCGGCCCCGGCCCGGCCCCGGCCCCCCGGCCCCCGGCCCGGCCCCCCCGGCCCCGGCCCCCGGGCCCCGGCCCCGGCCCCCCCGCCCCCCGCCCGCCCCGCACGCCCGCCCGCCCGCACGCGCGCGCGCGCACACGCGCGGCGCGCGCACGCACGCACGCACGCACGCGAGCGAGCGAGCGAGCGAGCGAGCACGCGAGCGAGCGAGCGAGCGAGCAAGCGAGCGAACGCGCACACGCGCACGCGCGCGCGCGCCGGGGGGGGGGGGGGGATGCGGTCAGTCAGCGGGCGCCGCCCGCCCGCACGCGCGCGTCCGCCCTCCCACCCCGCCCGGTCCCGGCCCAGCCCCGCCCAGTTTTGCCCGGCCCCACCTCGCCTGGCCCCGGCTTGTCCCCGGTCAAGGCCCCTCCTTGGTCAAGGCTTCCCCCGACCAAGGTCCCCCTGAGGTCCTCGTTCAACGCGGCCGAGCCGTGTGCCGCCGACCCCTCCCTAGATGCTGGTGATGCTGGTGATGCTCGGGGACTTTGGTGCCTTGGCATCGTTCGTTCCACCATCGGAGCTCAAAACCGGGAACGGCTGAAAACACTGAAAAAATCCAGTCAAACGGCTGTTTTTCCGGCATCTCCTGCCTTTTTTGGGCCCTTGTACCCCCCTCCATCCTCTGCCTGTCCAGCATCATCCGCGTTTTTGCTCACCCAGTGCCCGAGCCTGATCGGACCGAACGCGCGGCCCGCCCCCCCCCCCCCCCCCCCAGACAAGCCTCCTCCCGGCCAAGGTCCCCCCAACAAGGCGCCTCCCAGGTCCCCCCAAGGGCCCCCAGCATGCCCCCAAGGTGCTCCCAAGGTGCCCCTAGGGTCCCCAGAGCTGCCCCGGGACCAGCTTGCTCCACGCTTCTGACCCGCGAGGCCGGGGCGCGGAGCGTGAAAGTTCATACGTACTACTGTTGCAGCGGAGCGGTGCCCAAAGGACTGAGGAGACATCATCCATTCAGATGGCGAAGCACCCGTTCAGGGAGCCAAGAAGCCAAGACCATCAGACGTTTGACAGTTTCACCCGTTCTAGGAACCTGGCGCCTGACTTGGGTTGTGCTTCTGAGAAACGGGTCGTTTCAATTCTGGCCCACAATGCGGGGCGTTGTTGGCAGACAAACAGTTCAAGACGCTGTGCAAGGCAGACGCATCACTGATGGGATAGGAGATGCTTGGCAGAAGATTATCCAGATGTTCAACAACTGCAGTTACCAGTGGACCAGGCCGCTTCGCTGGTAGCGACCCTTTTGTCGGCTTTGTTGACCATCACCAATACGGCAACACTTAGCAGATGAACACAACCAAAACCACCAACACAATCATGCGTGTTATCTTCCTGATCTAGGTGACCGCCAGCACAGTATTTCATTCGGGATTTCATGAGCGTTTCTGCAATCATGAGTTTCCTGGCTGATGGACTGCAAGCAAGATGGAGTGGCGGTGTCTCAGAACATTCCCAGCTTGATTGTTCTCATGGCCAAAGGTTGAATTGCCAACATATAAAGACCACACAGGTTTGCTCCATGCCTATAGATTCCGCCCTGTTGGGCACCCTGGGATGTTGTTGATGAGCTGTTTCCAATGCACGCTTACGGGATCCTGAACCTCCTTGCCACAGCTTTTCGGCTGGTAGACACAAATGATCCTTTGGCTTGATCAAACAGAACCCAGAGATGACTTCTATTTGGTGCGGTTTGGGAGGGAGCACTGCAAGGTTGTGTCGTGTCCCTGGAGCCATCATTGTAGCGAGGCGTTGACGTTGGTCCGTGCCTTGGCGGCAGCGATCGAGCCATGCAGGTGCAGGTTTGCCTGCCGAGCGGCAGCAGCTGTTCCGTGGTGCTTCCGCCAGAGGCCACCATCAGCCAGCTGAAGGTTGAGGCGCAGAGGCAGCTTGAGCGCCGCTTCTTAAGCCTGGTTGCAGAAAGCCGGCGGCTGGACCTAGCATCCACTTTGAGAGAGGCAGGCGTGAGAGATGGGGAAAGACTTGGCGCGGTCGCTCAACGCGGCGCGCTGGCTGCCACCTCGGGTGCGTTCGCTTTGTACGTCACAGGAGGCAGCGCAGTGACTTGGGGTGACAGACGCAGTGGCGGAGACAGCAGCCAGGTACAATCGCAGCTAGTGCAGGTTCAGCGGATCCAAGGTACCAGAGCTGGTGATCCTAGGGCTGGTGCTTTTGCTGCCATCCGGGCTGACGGCACAGTGGTGACCTGGGGCGATCCAGGAGCTGGCGCCAGCAGCAGTGAGGTGCAAGAGCAGCTGGTGCAGGTCCAGCAGATCCAAGCAAATGACAAGGCTTTTGCTGCCATCCGGGCTGATGGCACCGTTGTAACCTGGGGTAGTCCAACTTATGGCGGAGACAGCAGTGAGGTGCAAGAGCAGCTGGTGCAGGTCCAGCAAATTCAAGCAACAGGCTATGCTTTTGCTGCCATCCGCGTTGATGGGAGGGTGGTGACCTGGGGCCGTCCTCTGTGTGGCGGAAACAGCAGCCAGCTGCAAGATGACCTGGTGCAGGTCCAACAGATCCATTCAAATGACACTGCTTTTGCTGCAATCCGGGCTGATGGCACCGTTGTAACCTGGGGTAATGAAACTTACGGCGGAGATAGCAGCGAGGTGCAAAAGCAGCTTGTGCAGGTCCAGCAGATCCAAGCAAATGACAAGGCTTTTGCTGCCATCCGGGCTGATGGCAATGTTGTAACCTGGGGTAATCAAACTTATGGCGGAGACAGCAGCGAGGTGCAAGAGCAGCTGGTGCAGGTCCAGCAGATCCAAGCAACAGGCTTTGCTTTTGCTGCCATGCGGGCTGATGGGACAGTGGTTACCTGGGGCCATGCAGAATATGGCGGAGACAGCCGCGAGGTGCAAGAGCAGCTGAAAAAAGTCCAGCAAACCCAAGCAAATGACAAGGCTTTTGCTGCCATCCGGGCTGATGGCACCGTTGTAACCTGGGGCGGTACGGGCAATGGGGGCGGTAGCACCCACGTACAAAGGCAGCTGCTGCAGGTCCAACAGATCCAGGCAACTGACTCTGCTTTTGCTGCCATCCGGGCTGATGGGATGGTGGTGACCTGGGGCAATCCAAAACGCGGAGGAGACAGCCACCAGGCGCAGGAGCAGTTTGATTTGTTGTGACATTTAGCTGCCTGGAGCAGAAGGCATTTGCTCAACTGATTCTTTCCTCTCTTCTCTAGAACGGCCTCGGAAATCCTTTGCACGGCAGCCTAGCCCTTTGCACGGCAAGCCTAGCGACACCCTGGTGAGTACAAGTTTCGCAGCAAAATCATGTTCTGCGGAGTCCTCTCGGCGAACAAGACAGCACTTGAAGAGTCATCTCGGTTAAAAAACAACAAGAACAAAGGCGGACTCACGACAGAAAGATGCAATCCATGGACACCAGGGCCCTGTGGCGTTTTTGAATCAGTCAGCCTCGTTTGAATTGGATTTCAGCGGCTCGGAGGCTTCGGCTGGCACGCCGATGCGGCTGGAAATCGTGAGGGAGCAGGCAAGGGCGGCTGAGGGCTTCGCGGCTTTGGAATTCGTGGTGAGGTACTCCCTGGTGTCGGGTCAGGGCTTTTGTGTTTTCCGCTGCTCTTGTTCGACGGGATTGGTTTCCACTACCAATGAACAGAAGGTTCGGGCTTGCAGATGTAGACGGTGCAGTCCAGACTTTACAGGCTGACCCGTTGAAAGGCTTCTGGAATCTTGCTCCCATTGTATGAGGTGGTAGTGCAGGATAGAAACTTTCAAGGTGTGGAGCGGTGGTGCTGGATTTAGACTTTCTTTTGAAGGGTGGGAGTCCTAGAGGGTGTGGGCCTTAGACACTGGGTCGCTTTTCCTTGTGAAAGCTATGTTGAGCCATACACCCTTTAGCTTCCTGGAAAGCTAACAGCCCAAAGCCACGGCAGTCCTCTTCTGTCTGTCCTTTGTCAGTGCCTCGGTTTTAAGTCAGGATCCGGCCCTTTGGACCTTCGCTTGCGGCCTCTTGCAGGGCATCAGCTCGCGCATCTAGCGTTATTGTTTGAAGTCGCGAACTTCACGCTGGCAGCTGAAAAGCAGCCGTTGGCCAGGGGTCTCGGAGATCCTCTAAGGGGTCAGGAGTTGTTCTGGAAGTTGACGGAGCCGAAATTCGAGGTGCTCAACTAGAGCGTACATGCCGCCCAAGTTGGCTATGTGGCTTTCTACAAGGAGGGGACCGAGGAGAACCTGAAGCAGGCCCTGGACATCATGGCTGCCAAGTCGCTCTGCGATCTGTTGTCCAAGGACATGGTTGGAGGCCAGGACAAGCGGAACGCTCTGGACAGACCATCAGGAAGGAGCTCGTGGATGGAGAGATCCGATGGGTGGAGCGCCCGGCCATGCAAGAGTGACGCGCTCCACAGGCTGATGAGGACTGATTGTGGCGGAGGACGCTCCAAGACAACGACGGCAATACCCGGAAGCTGGCCTGAGCGCGAGGAGATTTTCAATTGGGTCTGGAGGTGATGAAGGTTCTAGGAGCTGTAGAATCACATGGCTCGCGCCTCCAGCCCCATCCAGAAGCATGAGCGTTCTTGCGTACGCGACAGCCGCAATGGCTCAGCCAAGCTGAGGAGGACCCCCAAGCTGGGGGTGATGGGAAGCAGGTGAGCGTGGAGTTCACAGATCCTGCTGCCTTGCACGAAGCATTCGCTTTCATTCAACCATTGTCATGTTGGCGGACATGTCTTTTTCCCTCCATGCCGTCATGCAAGAGGGTTCGTGTTAGATTGTTGAGCATTTGGACAGCACAAGTCCTTGCCCTGTTCAACATGTTCACCGCGGCCTTGCTTGGGGTGCCCAATGTCGCCTGCAGCCGTTTTCCCTACCGGATCTGGAGCTTGCGCACTTTTGAGGTTTGAGCGGGCCCTGCTGATTTGCAAATGGTTTTGGATGGATGGATGGATGGACGGAGCGACCGGGGTGGTCGGCCTTACAGATGGTCCCTCCCGCCGTCGCAGTGGCCCCTCCGCAAGCGTCACATGGTTTTAAAGCTGGGTCACCAATTGAACTAGTGTTTTTTGCTCGGAAACCAACAGGGGACGCCATTGCTTGGGGTTGAAAGGGGGGCCAAAGGAATCCCTTACTGCGGGGACCCTAATTCTAGGAAGCACCCATTGGTGTTGACATTGGAAACAAACGCATACTGTGCCTGCGGCTGGCTGGCGGCGGGATTTGCGCCGCTTGAGCGCCCAAGCTGCGGCCGGCGAGGCAGACAGCTGTGACCCGTGATGCTTCAGCGCGCCTTCTTTGCAGTTGCCCTAGCGTACCAGAGAGCTACGCGGGGAGATTCTTGCTTGCGCACCAGTCCGGATGTAAACACGGCATAAACAAACGCCGTAATCTCTCCTTCATCTTACTTGGAGCTCAGCTGCGTGTTGTTGTTCCTCTCAGTCCTTGCCGTTTCGGGAGGGGCCAGAGGTGCGGCCAGAGGACCAGGCCTGCATGTCCCGGGCCAAAGAGGACGTAGAAATGCAGCCGCCCAAGCACAATCTGTTGTGAAGCTGGGTGCAGCTGGACTAGAACGCATGCCCCGTGCCCGCTGCTAGGGCAGAACACGGAAGTCCGCGTTCTTCGTCTCTCAGCACGGCCCGGAGTTTGTCCTGAACTCAAGTTGCGCAAGGCTTGGGCCAGTAGAAGGCTTGACTGCACCGCTGTCATGTGCAGATGGAAGCTGGAAGTTTGCATTTTCTCGTCCGACGCTTTGAGAGAAGAAGCCTTCTCAGGTCGTACGTGAGTTTTGTCCAAGGGAGGACAGCTGCCTTGCTGGTGACTGCCACCTGGAGCATGTGCAAGATTAATAGCAAGCTGACAGGCCTTCAAGTGCCCCCCCCCAGGGTGGACAGGTTTGGACCTGTAGAGGAGCCTAGACGTTTGCAACCTTCAGAACCTCGTTGCATGATACCGCTCTTTGTGGGCTAGTAGTTTTCAGACTGGAAGCCACCCGCGCTTGGAGGTCAAGTTCATGGGGGGCTCTCATTTGTTTTTGCCGCTCAGTTGATTTCCCTTTGTAAGCAGGATATGGGGGGGGCTCTAGTTTCGACAACTGCCCAAACGGCACTGGCAAGGCACTTGGTGTTATGGCTGCAGGACTTCCTCCCTTGACATCTACACCTTGGCGGGCGATTGAAATTGCAGGCGCATAGCAGTGTTAGTTTCTCGAGGCAACAGCAGCAATGGCTGTCGAAGAGACAAGAGAATCGTAAGGGAGCACTAGTAGCGAGGCATAAAGACAGACAGACAGAAGTGGCAAACGCGACGGAAAGCAAGAAAAATAAGGCGAAGAAGAAGAGACCGCTGAGCCAGTCCGTTTCAACACGCAAGACTGTTTGGTGCAGCCAGGCAGATTGTTGAAGGGGCCCACACCCCTTGCTGGTCGGGATTTCCTGTACAGGGCACGGTTGGTGGAAACTCGTGGTAGTTGCCAGTTTCCTGGCCAAACTGTCAGATGGTTGAGATCGCACCCCGGCTGATGCCGGTGTTTGCTCAGGATTTAACAAGATCTTCAACTGGGATTGCCGCTGTGAGGAAATTCTCAACACCGGTCAAACAGGCCCAACAGCGCCGGCGTTTCTCGGTTTGGGTGGGTTTTTTGGGTTGGAAAGGGAAGGACATAAGGGGGCTCACCAATGTCCAACGTACACCAGGAGTCTCATTAAGTATCCCGTATAAGTTTGGGGGAACCTCATGTTGTTGGATTGTGATGGTGGCTCACATAGTGGTTACAGCCAACTTGGCTCGTTCGCATCAAATCCCAGCAGTCCAGTCACAACCATTTGTGAGTTTGTGCCGGTCGCACCACGAACGAGAGGCCCGATGTGTGGCGAGAGTTTGGTTGGTCAAAGTCCCGGACTTTTTGAACACCTGTGAAACAGATAGACACAGGAGGTCAGCGACCACAGGGAGTCCAGGCCGGTTTCAATCAATCCCTGGGTTTGTGCCCCCTACCTGCAACTGCAGCTGGCGTAGCGCAACTAGTCTAACCAATGGCAGGATTGCCGAATGCAGAACTGCAATTTGGTTGAATGGCATCATGAGACGAAGCGTGCGAAATCCATGAATGAGCCATCCTTGTTTCTCGTTGCTTTCACCAGAAAGGCTACGAAACGGGACGCGCGCGCTAAGATACTGTACCGCTCCAATCGGTGTGGTGTGCTTATCTTAAATGCATCCTTACGGCAGGGCTATTGAACGCACACATGCGATTTTCCCGAGACAGACTGGTACAGGGAGGGGTGAAGTGTACAAAAGGCATGAACGACTCCGTTTTTCCTCGGCATTTTCGACACAAGAGTTGCAGAATGACACACATGCATGTGAAGGTATTGCATATAGACGATTGATGTAAGTAGTTGTGTCGACTTTAACAATGACAGGTTATTGCCAGAACCGCTGTTGTTTGCGTTCTGTGTTGATGCATAACGAAGGAGTGGAACGTGCAAAAAACCGTGTTTTTTTTTGACATCCGCCGGCGCGATGTCCATGCTCAATTGCACGAAAGGCCAAACTTGGCCTCGAGCCAGCAGGTTGCACCACGACCGGAAGGAAACAGTAGGGGCAGTGTCCCAGTCAGCTAACCTGACTCGCCAGTTGCAAGATAGGGCAGGATGCGCCATCAAGGGGTCTGCGAGGTTCCTTGGGCCCACGGCTTAGTGCAGTTAGCGAGGATAGAGCATTCCTCCTCGCAAGGCCATGGCTGCGCATGTTTGCCTCAAATGGCAACATGAGGCTTCTGACAAGGGAGTCATGTCTGTTGAAAGTGGAGAGTTGACTGCGCATAGGAGCAGTCCGACACAATCGCATTTGAGATGAAGGCTGGTCAGCTGGTAGTTCCATATAACAGCTTTATTGAACTGCCAGCCACAAGCGCAAACTGCTCTGAAATCAGGCAAAGGAATGTCACATTGCAAAGCTGGAGCGCCAGGCTGGCTAAATACCTTGATATTTTGAACATGTTTGTTGGTTTCAACGGACAGGTGCAGTTCTTATTGTCTTTGAACGAGCAGCTGTGGAAGTGCAAGGCGCTGGGGATCAGCAGCGTTTTGCGGGTTTGGGTCTGCGACCTGTTGACTTGCCGAGGAGGCTCATCCAGGGACACCAAGAACCAGGCAAGCTTGATACGCACTTGTAGGACGTTGTTTTTGTTGATGTTCTACCACAAAGCGGCAGGTCGTCTTGCTCAACAGCATGCCCATCAGCGCCAGAGTTGTCGCCTGAGACGTCGCCAAAGTCGTGGACGCGCGAGGCATGCAATGTTGTTCTTGCATGAGTTTGTTTAACAACCTTTTATGGTTTGACTTTAACGTTAACATGGGGCCATGACCAGCTTCACCACAGCCCGACCAGGCCAAATTGGGTTGCATGCGTCATATCAGTAAGATATGTGTATGAATCACTACTAATAGTATACCTCCAATCATGACTGAATTTGGTTTTACAGTGCCCCACAACCCCATTCTCATTATTCCGTTGTGCACTTGAGTGTGTACGCACACCGGGGATGTACGGGTGTAGAAACGAACGCAGGACTGCGATCGACCAATGAAGACAAAGGGCAGTTTGCCTGCGGTTTGTGGCGTGATTGCGGCGTGAGTGCAGCTGCATGTTTATCAACATGGTTGGCAGAAAGGGCACTTATACTTTGGTGACACGTGGGTGCGCCCTGTTGGTTGTGGTTTTAAAGGGAAACCAACAGGAAACCAACATTTTTTTTTGGGGGGGAGCCCTAAAAAGACACACCCACTTGAGTTCTCATGGCAATTGCAATGGCCAACTGCTGCAGCAGGAGCCTGGAAGAGGGTCGAACTATTGCAGAATACATTGCGCACAACATCACGACACACGTTACAATGTAATGCGCTACATGCATTACATGACGCATATTTGCCTGTGTTTTCCGTGTTCAGTCCCATTCGGAGCCGGGTGACTCGACCTCCCACCGCGGCAGGGGCCCACACTTCTGCGAGCAGGTTGCATTTTTCTCGGGGGCCAATTGCAAACAATGCTTTGATATGCTTATATGAGGGCCCAATTTCATTGTCATTTCTTGAACCATAGCAGGTTAGACAGTTAGGGGAAGCCAATGCCTACCTGAAGGGTAGAACATGGATAACTATGATGAAGTACCTGTCTCATGTACATTTCAATGCCCCCTGACAACAAAGTCTGCTCCAAGGGCACCTCAAATTGGCGATCCAAGCGCCTATTGTTTTTCGTGTCTGCAAACACCAACCCAACCCAACTGAGCAACTATATAAGCCTTTTCTCCTAAATCAACCAAACCACTGCAACCATTCTTTCAAAATCTTTCAAAGAAACAGGAAATAGCTGGCTATCTTGGCTTCTGAGCTCTCGTTGGCGTGCTTGGGAGGAGGGGGGTTGATTGTTCGCCGTTCGCATGGCGCCCCAAGATCGGTGCAATATTGGTGCGAGCGAGCACGATGGTACTAGTGTGGGATGCGTGCAGGCCAAGATGGAAAGCACGGCGGTCTTTGCGACTGCCTTGGAGCAGCAGTTGCAGCAGTCGCAGGAGGAGTGCAGCGCTGCCAAGGCTCTTGGTGACAGATTTTGACTGTTTTAGATTTTGTACTTTTGTCCATGTTTGTCCTTGCACCGACTAGGGTTGGTCGCTGTCGGGTTGATCGCTTGGATGTTGGAGTCGCTGAGGCAGGCCAAGGCAGCGCTGGAAGCCGAGCTGGAGCAGTCCAAGGCTGCGGCCTCAGCTGCAGCCTCGGCTGCGGAGGAGGCCAAGGCAGATGTGCAGATCAGTATTCCCGGGGTCTGGGTCTAAGCCGGGGCCAAGCCCTCGTTTAAACATGTTTAAAAGCAGATTATGGGTTGCAGCATGAGTTTGCAGCGCGATACAGCGCGGATTACGCGTTAAGAAGGTTACCAACCGGAACAAGGATTAAGGCTCAGTTTGTGTGTTTGTGCTTTGCGTTGTTTAGATGCACATACCGCGATGCTCCGTGTAGGGTTGATTGTGTCGCATATGCGTGCTTTGAGCTGGACGGACGCCCTCGAGGCACGTGAGGAGGCGAAAGCCAGTGTGGAGGAGCAGCTGCAAAAGGCCAAGGAGGCGGAAGCTGCGCTGACGGCTGAACTGGAGCAGTCCAAGGCTGCGGCCTCGGCTGCGGAGGAGGCCAAGGCAGAGCTGGCGGCCAAGCTTCGGGAGTCCAAGGATGCCGCGGAGGCGGCCGAGTGCTTCAAAGCGGACTTGCAGCCTAGCCTTGAGAGCTTCAAGGATCGGATCCTGGCGCTGGAGGCGCAGCTTCCCGGCGATCTGCTCGCGCAGGCGCTTCGGATGTTGGGGGAAGTGGGGCGAGGCAAACAGGGAGTCAGGGAGTAGGGTAATGCTTTGAGGACTGCCCTTGTTTCGTTTGCACTGCGCTTGCCCATTCCAGTTGGCCGTGTGAATGCACTGCAGGCCGACACGGGAAGCGCCGAAGATGGACAGGATGAAGGCTGGGCGTTGAGGGGCTCGCATGTTGGAAAGTTGTTCAAAGGCCCTGCGTTCCATTGGTAATTGCACGTGGTCCTTGTCTGTTAGTGTTGTGACTTTTGGAACTCTCGACGCGTAGATGTTGCTGCCGTTGGCGCCAGCTCAGAGTGCGATCAAATTTCCCTTGCTGTTCCCAGCGCAGGCGGCGCCTCAGCCAAGTCGCGTCGCTGCTCCTTTTCATGCTGCGCACGGCGGCGGTCGCAGGACTTTTTCCGGGGGTCAGCTGGGGCTGCTGTTAGCATGATATGAAGGCTTGTTGGGAACGAAGATTGCATTCAAGCCAGTGGCCAGGAGGCAGCATTTGTGGAGGAGCTTGGGTTCCGACTGCAGGTGCGGGATGCTGCAGGATGGTTCTAAGGATTTTTGGGTGATATGGCGGCGCTTGCTTGGAGCAGGGTTGCCACAAGGCGGAGTCTTGGACAGAACCGATGCGGCTGTTTGCAGGGTGTTGCGGAGCGACTCAACGCCTTGAAGCAGAGCAAGGCAGAGGTGGAGGCGCGAGCTGGTTATCTTGGCTTCTGAGGTAGCGTTGGCGTGCTTGGGAGGAGGGGGGCCCAAGATTGGTGCAATATTGGTGCGAGCGAGCACGATGGTACTAGTGTGGGATGCGTGCAGGCCAAGATGGAAAGCACGGCGGTCTTTGCGACTGCCTTGGAGCAGCAGTTGCAGCAGTCGCAGGAGGAGTGCAGCGCTGCCAAGGCTCTTGGTGACAGATTTTGACTGTTTTAGATTTTGTACTTTTGTCCATGTTTGTCCTTGCACCGACTAGGGTTGGTCGCTGTCGGGTTGATCGCTTGGATGTTGGAGTCGCTGAGGCAGGCCAAGGCAGCGCTGGAAGCCGAGCTGGAGCAGTCCAAGGCTGCAGCCTCAGCTGCGGAGGACAAAGTTTTGCATGAAGCAATCAGCGACCCGCGGCTTTGGACAAAGCCTCACGTTCTGCGGAGCGGAGCATGTCAGACTTAGCTCACCATGCCCGCTTGCCTTTCTGGGGTAGCGCATGCTCTTTCAGAACTCTGCAGTTTGAAGCCAACACCTCAACCGACTACATCAGTCAGTGATTTAGAAAGGCACTCTCATGTTGGTGAACTCCTTTGTTTGTGCGCATGCCCCTCAACAACGAGCTGAACCCCACAAGACGTAGACCCTTCTGCGGCAGCCAGAAGTTGGATTGACTTGGGTCATGTCCAGGTCGAGGAGCCGCAAGCGCAGGAACGATGCCATGCCATTGCCAATTTCGACCCGGACGGACCAACCACGATTCGAGTGCGCCAGGGAGTGCCGTGGCAGATACTATCCTGGCAGCGTGTCAAGACAGCGTCCACTCAGGTTCCATGTTTGTGTGAAGGTAAGTACTTGCTGCAAGTATCGGCTTACATGCTCTCTTGCTTGAAACTTGGGGCTGTCGAAGCAACAAAAGTTGGCTTCAGATTCATGTGAGGATTTGGTTGAGATCTTGAAGACGGACGTCACGGGCTGGAGCTATGTCAAGAATCTCACAGCCACCCCTGGCTGGGTTCCGTCATGGAGTGTCCCCGCACCCCCCGCGCCGGCACCCCAGCGCCGGCGCCAGCGCCGGCGCCACCAGTGGCATCGGCTGCACCGGTGGCACCGGCTCGGGAGGCGGAAGAGAACAATCATGTGCTGTAGCTCGGCTCTGATGCCGACACATGCTGACTATTTGAGAATCAGTCCAATTGGCAACACTCACGTCAGCCGTAGTCAATCTATGCAGTCGATACTTTTACTAAGCTGTCTCGACCATGCCACCGTGTTGTTTCGCATTGTCCGCAGTTCACCTCTCCGTTTGCCCACGGCTTGCATCATCCGGTGGCTGAGGCAGAGGGACAGAGATGGGGAAGCCCGCACGCACGCAGCCCCAGCGCAGGCGCCATATTTCTCGCTACCCTTTGGCAGTCCTAACGCTTGGACGAGCCATTCCTGGCTTGCCTTAAATACGTGTGTTTTTACTCACACATACTTCAGACAAATTCAGAGCTTTTCAACCCTTTGATGTTCAAGCTCTGGAGCCCCATACAAAAACAGAAAGCCACACGCACCCTGGGGCATGGGGATGGGGCGGGTGTCGTTAAACACAAGTTTTTTGCAGAATTCGTGAAAAGGCACAGTCCAAGCATGGCAACGCCAGCCCAATCCAGTGGGTACTACCCCTCCAAATCGGAATTTAGAGTGGACGATACTTGTTTGTCAGCTCCAGGCCAGGGGTTAGTCTATGAAGGCCATTGGATTCGGGTACCGATTGCCCGGTTGATCTCTCACCGGCCAAAGGGAAGCAAGCAGTGTCGCTCCAAATGTGCAAACATACGTGGTGTTTGCACATTGCATGTTTTTTTGCACATTGTGCCAAACAAAGACATGCTAACACAGAAGCACTGGTGCTTGTCACTTCCAAATTCACTTCAAATACGGCTGACGATGCTGGGGATATTTTCGCTCAGCGGTTCCGGGCCAAGGGGGGTTCAGGAAACACGCACTTCGGCCGACCCGGGTGCGATTTGTTGCCAGGTCGATTGGTTAGCCCCGTCAAAGGAAGGCGCAACTTTTCATCAAAAGGATTAGATCCCTGGTTACTCATTAGAGCACTAGCTGGAATCATGTTGAGCAAGGACCTGAAAGGCCTGTGGATCATACCCCCCAGCCTTGCGGCTGGGATGTTATTTGCATCCCTGTGCAGTATTGCGCAGTCCAGGAGAAGCCATCGTGCCGGTTGCCGCCGGCGTCGACTGCCTAGGTTTAGTGAGCGGGTACTGTTTTCCTTTGGCTGGCGAAGTCACCTACTTACCAACGCGTGATCCTCTTAGTGGGAGTGTGTCAAAACGCGGCTTGGGGCCACGTTTTCAGTTGTTTCTCAGTTGGGAAGCCAGAAGGAATCTATTTTTGGACAGGCTTGGTTTTCCGCAGATTGGCCAGGGGAACGAGGACAACCACCTCCTTGTGTCTCAAAACAGGGAGAGCTAGCTTCATTTGGGTTGGTTTGAAGATTTCTTGTTGAGGGGGAGTCCCATTTTATGTCTGTACTTTTCTGCGCCGCAGTGGCCAAGCCCGCCTCCCCCCTTCCCGAGGCAAGAGCACAGCACCAGCTCCGGGAGCGAGGAGGCATCTTCTTGATCCTCACCATGTTGGCACAGCGGTCCTTTTTGGGGCAGTTTGTTGTACTGCTTCCAGTCATTCGTATGTCTCAGGGCAGCCCTTGGCAACAATGTCTGGCCGGACCTTCAGCTGGGCATGTCTGGTTTTTCTCTTCCTGTTGGGTGGCAGAGCGGCTTGGGAAGAAACAGCAACACTGTAACACAAAAGCGGCCCCAAAATCAACGCTCCCTTTACTTTTTTCCGCCTTTGCCTTGATGCGCACCCTTCTAGCTGTCTGGCCTGTCCTTGCATGCTTTGTCTCCCTTGATAGGTTTACACAAAAGAGCTTCCCCCGTCATGTCACCTCTTCCGTTTGCCTTTGCTTTTTCTGTACATTCTATCTGTAGTGAACACTTTGCAGTCAGAATCAAAGAGGTCTGCCAGTCCAGACCCAGAGCCAAAACAAATTGAACTTGAGAGGATATTCTATCTACGATTGAACCAATGTAATGGAGCCACCGCAATGCGTGATGAGAGCAATTCAACACATGAAGAAGGCGGGCCAAAAAGCAGGTGCAGTGCAAATGACATCGTCGACAGAGGGCGCGCAAGGGACATTTTGGGGATTTCGAACGCGTGATAGCAAATCCTTGGCTCCAAACCCTTGAACCTCCCTCTTTGGTCCCAGGCCTGGACTTGAATATTTTTCCTTCTGTTTCTGGTGCCAGTCTGGACTGAGCTTTGGACAAGACGGAATTTCTTATAAAGTTCCGCTTCAAGAGTGTTGAAATTGAAACAATTTTCCGGCACTCCTGGCTTGGAACCCAAAGTGCAAATTGAAGGCTCTCGAAGAAGAAATGTCTCAAAAGAAAAAGGATCCACTCGACCTGCAACCAACAGATGCGAATTGGTCGCTTTCTAAAATTCATTTGAAGCGAACACCCCTGCTTGTCCAGAGCTCACCACACAAACGCACACACGCAAACACACAAACGCAAAGACACACACAAACACAAGCGCAATCACACAAAGACACAAACACACACACAAGCACACGCAAACAAGCACACACACAGATCTTGACTTTCTTCCAGTCAGGCCTTTAAAGCCGCTGAGCAGGCGCAGGCTTGGCAGGCCTGCGTCGAGAACTGTTCATCCAGGCTTCAAGACCCTTGCCTTTGAAAGCAGTTATCTCTGCTATCCATAACAAGTGGTGGTTGGGTGGCGGAGGCTCTAATTGGAATGCAGCAATGTGCGAATTGGATTTGGGCAATAGCCCCCCCTTTAGCTAAAATACAGAGGGGGGGGCCACACCTAAAGTACAGAAATTCCGTGTACTTTTTTGGGCGCCCTATACAGGCCTATAATGGTAGCCGCACACGCGGCTGCACATGGCTGATCATGGCTGTAACTCCAAGCTTACAATGTGGGCAATTGTGGGATA